GCCGAGCCTAAACATTTTTCTTATAATCATGAATATTTTCCTCCTTTACCCCATGAAAAAGCAGCTTTTTCCCACAAACTGTCTGAACTCTAAACCAAATTGAATAGCTGCTGCCCTTGAAGCTGATTAGCAAAACACAAAGTCTTCAACTTAACACAGTTGATTTAAACTGATAAAGAGCAGGAAATTCAGAGCTGAAGGTAAAAGGAGCTCCTGATGGTGCCACATTGTTCCTTAGAGTACTGAGGCTCTCATCACGTTAAATGACCTGGTATCTCATCTGGACTAAATACCAGAGCTGAATGCATCTATTTAAGGCAGATGTAGCTTCATCCTTGAATTTCCAGATTTAAATCACTGTTGTCCTTTCTCATTTGTTTTCTAAAGCGACAGCTTTTTACAAGAGTAACTGAAGAAAAATAGGTTTCATATGGGAGAGGAAGTTGGGAGGCTAGGATACCCTTGCCCTCAATTGTGTATAAGAGAATCTTTGAAGTATAAATTTAGCAAATTTATCGATCCTCAATATTAACACTGTTTTAACTGAAACTACATTTACAAATAAAATAAAAAAAGAATTTTAGTGCAGCGCCTGTGGCTCAAGGAGTAGAGCGCCGGCTCAAACCCAGTCCCAGCCTTTAAAAAAAAAAAAACTGGAAAAAAAAAGAAAAAAAGAATTTTAAATGCCAAGGATATAGTTCAAGCTATCATTATTTAACTGGAGCATCAAAACACTATGCAGAATAGTTCAAGTAAATTTTAAAACTACTTATAAGAATGAGCAATCACTTTTCTGTTCCTAAACACTTAGCTCTCATTCAAACCACCCCTTCATTGTCTTCTTTCTGAAACCTTCAGACTTCAGACCATATTCCACACCAGGCCACAGAAATAGGCCATGCAAAAATTAAAAACATACAACAAAAACTCTCCTGTTCTAGAAAAAATATGTATATCAGTTTTGAGTAGTTGAGAAACTATGAGAAATCCTTTACGTCAATATATATTTCATGTAGTCAGTTTGAAAGCAACCATATTTAAGAGGTTACTTTCAAAGTAGTCCAATTATATATTGCCACCATTACATGTGCCCTTTTCATTCCAGATATTTTACAAAACCAATGTACACAAGATTGTACAGTTATTTGGGATCTGGCTCCCCCTAAAACTTCTCTTTATTTCAGCTCCATATCTGGAAAAAATCATGAGCAGATACCAGATCATTTATGTCAGTATAAGGTTTGTAATGTGTATGCAAGATAGCACCAGGAAACAATCTAAAAATGAAATTAAGAAGACAATTTCATTCACAATAGCAACAAGAAAACCATACTTAATTTAACAGGCCAGGTACACTGACTGTGATCCTAGAACACTGTGAGCTGAGGTGCGGGGAATGCCTGAGCTCAGGAGTTCAGGATCAGCCTGAGCAATAGCGAGACCCCATCTCTACTAAAAATAGAAAAACTGAGGCAAGAGGAATGCTTGAGCCCAAGAACTTGAGTTTGGGCTCAGTGCCTGTGGCTCAACCGGCTAAGGCGCCAGCCACGCACACCTAAGGTGGTGGGTTCGAATCCCCAGCCCGGACCGCCAAACAACAATGACGG